AATGCTGGACAAGGGAAGGAGTCGTATTTGTTATTACGCCCAGTGGAACTCGACATCGCATTAGTTCGCGTTCGGAGCTCGACAATATTCCCGGACTAACTGACGTCCATGTGCCAGCTGCTAATACTGGTGCCGCGTCTACTCTCACATCTTCAAAAGCAAGAGCAGCTGCACCAACGCAAGTGAACCGGGCCAGGCGCAACATCAAGAAGTGATAATGATGTTTTGTTGTATGTTACGGGTAAATCACATTTATACTAGTTGTTTCTATATAATCCCTGTTTCGCATTCTAACTTTACTATTTGTACGAATAATCTTGTTTCAATATGGAATACCCGCAATTATTTACTCGGTTTGTTGTGTATACCGTAAATTTTTAGTTCTTACAATTTTGAAATAACTTAATAACACTGTCACAGACCACAGCCTAACTGATAGCTGACAGCGTCATAATACGTTCCGTTCTAAAATCTAAATTTAGCATATCAAATGCCCTTTACAAAGATTAAAAATGTTAGCCTAAATATTAAATCTTTTTTATAATTTACTAATGTATGATATACAGATATCTTTCTTCTTTTTTTTTTGTTAAGTTAATTCGAGACCAAACTCTTGCATTTTTTATATTTGTTAATTACTTTCCCGTTAATCCACACAAAAACTCTTTTTTTTTGTTGCTTAGCTTTCGCTACGACACTGTTTACATTTTGTTGCGTTCGGGTTTTTTTTTTGTACTATTTTTTTTCTATGTTAGTTTTATTAAAATACCTTACTTGTAATTAAGGTATTTCTCACTATTATTGTGTATAGGCAATTTGTATAAGGGTATGGCTGGTGGGTTAGCAAATGACACAGTTTTATTTTACTATCTTATTTTATTTATTATTATTATTATTAATATTCTATATTTTTTTATATTTTATTTAGTATATATTTTATTATTATTTTATAGCATTATATCAGTATGACGAATAGTGAAAATGATAGCACTACAGACGATGACATTTATCTTCCTTGTCATTCCTCATCATCCGACGACGCCAGTTTCCTCAGTTCTTCCATTCCTCTCAATGAAACCTTACACTCCACTTTTTCTCATTATTCAAAGAGCTTCAATGTTGCCCATATTAATGCGCAGAGTATCCCCGCACACTACCCGGACCTATTAAGTACGTTTGACGTTAAAGACTTACATGCGATCTTAGTCTCGGAAAGTTTCCTTAAACCTTGTCTTCCTTCTACTTCGTACGCCTTGCCGGGTTTTCATCTGATTAGAAACGATAGAACTGACAAAGGTGGTGGAGGGGTAGCTATTTACTTACGTTCACACATTCCTTTTAATATTTTAAGTAAATCTCCCTCTCAATACACTGAGTCAGCTGAATATATTATAATTGAGGTCCTTTTCGGTTGCCTGAAACTTCTGTTGGGAGTCTTCTATAGTCCATCAATGCGCGTTGACTACTTTGATGAATTTGAGGTCTTAATGGAGAGACTTATCCCAGACGCTGATCACTCTATAATCATGGGGGATTTTAATACCTGTTTGATTAAAGATGACTTACGAGCAAAGCGGTTGAACAGCATCATCAATGGCGCTAATCTTAATATTGTCAACTCTAATAGTGCGACTCATTTTTTTCCTGATTGCACTCCTTCGTTGCTGGATCTGATGATTGTCTCTTCACTTGATCTCGTCAATGTGCATGGACAGCTCTCAGCTGATGCGTTCTCATACCACGACCTAATTTATCTGTCCTATAAAATACGTCCACCCAAAGCCAAACCTACGGTGGTTATGCGACGCAGCTTTAAGCACTTTAATAACGACAGCTTTATGAATGATCTCAGTTTGATTGACTGGAATTCTGTTTTAAACGCCTCGTCCACAGATGATAAGCTGAATATTTTTAATTCCATACTGACGGAGTTGTTTGATATTCATGCTCCACTTAGACCAATTAAAATCAAACATCTTCCGGCACCTTGGTTGACACAGGAAATTAGAGTGCTAATGGTCAAACGTAATAGGGCTAAGTCCAAATATAAAATTAACCCCACAGCCGATAATCTGCTTAAATTTAAGCATTTGCGTAACAAATGCAATAGATTCTGCCGAGATGCTCAACGCGAATATGTTCATGCTTCAGTGGAAAATAAAGACTCTGCCAGAGTATGGAAATTTTTAGATGCTATGGGTATTGGTAAGGATCGTAAAGCCTCACTCTTCACTGGTAATATTGACTTGGAAGCTCTTAATACACATTTTGCTACAGTTCCTTTAATAAAACATACTATAAAGGCTAACACTCTTTATTCCCTTGCTCTTGGTTCTAAGCCTAACACTACGCTTTTTAATTTTTCACCTATTTCTCCTAAGGAAGTTAAGATGCATATAATGGCTATAAAATCTGATGCCATTGGTAGCGATGGAGTAAGTCGAAAGATGATTCTCTTAGCTCTCAATCATATACTTACAGTTCTCTGCCATATCTTTAATCATTCTCTCTCTTCAAGTACCTTTCCTAGCTGCTGGCGTTCAGCTTACGTTATTCCTATTCCTAAAATTTCCAATCCTTCATCGTTTTGTCACTATAGACCAATTTCTATACTTCCTTTTCTTTCTAAGGTGCTTGAACGTGTAGTTCACAGCCAACTGTCATTACATCTTTCAAAGCATAATTTGCTCAGTCCCTACCAATCTGGATTTCGACCTGGACATAGCACGACCACTGCTCTGATTAAAATCTGCGATGACATAAGGAATGGGATTGACAATCAGCAAGTTAGCATAACTGCTTTATTAGACTTCTCAAATGCTTTTAATACTGTAGACTTCGACATCCTCTTAGCAATCCTTGAGTCAATGAATATTTCATTGGGTGCTGTTGACTGGTTCCGTTCATATCTCTTTGATCGCAAGCAATGCATTCGTGTCGAGGACAAGCACTCATCTTTCTGTTACCTTAAAGCGGGTGTCCCTCAAGGCGGTGTCCTTTCTCCTCTCCTTTTTTCTATCTTCATCAACTCCATAACTGAGCTTCTCTCCTTACCTTTTCACCTTTATGCTGATGACCTGCAAATTTATGTAACAACACCCATAGATGGTCTTCACGATGCCATAGCCCACCTCAATACTAATCTCAATACTGTAAGTACATGGAGTAAATCGTTTGGGTTATTTCTAAACGCGAGTAAGTCGCAGGTATCCCTATTTGGTTCTCGTCAGCTAGTATCCAAAATTAATATGTCATCCCTTTCACCTATTTTATTCGACGGGACTAGACTGCAAATTCGCAGCTCGGTTAAAAATTTAGGGCTTATAATGGACAATTCCTTATCTTGGGTGCCTCAGATTTCGGAGGTAAGCAGAAAGTTTTTCGCTGTAATTGGTCGGTTGAGGAGGTGGAAGAAATTTTTGCCAATAAAAACTAAAGTATCCCTAGCACAATCCCTTCTCCTTCCTATACTTGATTATGCCGATACATGCTATCCCGACTTGTCGCAGACTCAACTCAATAAACTGGAACGTTTGCAAAATATGGCAATCCGATTTATCTATGGCTTAAGAAAATTTGACCACATTTCTCAATATCGAGCTCAACTTAAATGGCTCACCGTTAAGCAGCGACGGAACTTGCATATCCTTACTCTCCTATACACTATCCTCTTTCACTCCCACACTCCTCCTTATCTTAAAACAAGGTTCAATTTCCTTGGTTCTATCCATTCCCTAAACCTTCGCTCGCAAACCGACAACAAATTAGCATTGCCCGTCAGTCGCACCCAAAGCTATGGCGACTCGTATACAGTAAAAGCTGCAATATTATGGAATGCCTTACCACAGGACATTCGCCAGTCGGAATCGGTGCAAGTATTCAAACGTCGTCTTAAACACTACTATTTGTCGCTATAAGTCTATGTATATTTATGTAAGCCCTGTTTATGTAAGTTTATTGTAGAATATATATGTTTATTGTTTATACTTATATATTATAATATATATTTATGTATGTCCTTATCGATATTTATGTAAGCTTGTGTGTACTTTATAGTATGTACCGTTTAAGTAAGTTTATTATAGACTAGTTCTTTTTTTTTTTTTGCACCAACCATAATCCATGTCACCCTATGAGTTTCTTTATAATATAGGTTGCCTGGAAGAGATCACTTTAGTGATAAGGCCGCCTTTACACTAATATTAGTTAAGTTATATATTCTTGTATATTGTATTTTTATTTTTGGTGTAATAAAGGATTAATAAATAAATAAATATATATATATATATATATTATATATATATATATATATATATATATATATATATATATATATATATAATTTTGCAAACTTAAATATTCGTCTATTGTAGACGATATATGTCTATGTCTGTTTCTGGGATAAATAGAAGCCTATGCGACGTTCATAAGAATTCTCTATCCGCCACGAAAAGTCGCCTTAAAATCAGTACAGCGCTCATGGAGACTAGTCAATATAAATTGGCATCAATTTTAATTTAATACTAATTATTTGAGCTTTTCATAGTGTTAACAACCAGATCAACTCAACGTACGGTAACTGTTTAGAAATTACAGATAGACAATTTTATTTATAAGTATAGGTAATATAATGTTAACCTATGTATTTACTTTTGTCTGGAAAGTCGAAAAAAAATATTCTTAGAAATGCATTCCCAGCAGCATGCAATCTTGTTTTAAGACTGAAGAACCTTTCGCTTAGAGAGTTTAACTTGACCTTTATGTAGATGTCATGTAACGTTTAAGCGTAGAGTAATATCGTTTACCCTTCTCGCATATAAATGTTAATTGTGGGAATCTGTCTATAAAATTATTCAAACATTCTAAAAACGTTGATTGGCGAACAAATTACTTGAATGGAGATATTAGATCTGTGAAAGGAATAACTGGATTTCATTACTGAGTAAAGATGTTGGACCATTTTTGGCGTGTCTGGGAACTAAAGCTCTCTATCAAGATCACATCTTATTTTTATTGGTCACAGCTGCAAGACTAATCAGCGTGGGGCATGCCATTATAACCTGGTCTTGTACGGTTGTATTGTACTTGTAAGTAATTGGCAGTAAATGAATGTGTATTAAACGTAGTTGGGTTATCATGGTGTGCGCACCCCTCGGTTTCTCAGACTGACGGACGAAGTCTCGTTTAGTTTTAGCCGTGTCCACATTGGACATTGACGTCCACGTCTGAATAGAATTTAAATATTATTTTCAAATATGTATAGTGAAAGGTTGAGTGTTCAGTGTTTTCGTTTTTGGTAAGTAAATACGTATATTATTAACATTTAAAATAGTAATAACTTAAAATTTTCAGATTTAAATATAGTGTTGTATTTTTATTTATTAAGCGGTTTTATTCGCATATTGTGAGCAGTTGTGCATTCAGAAATATGAAAATAAATATTATCTTAATTTCTTTATGGATTCATATCGGCCTTTTATAAGGATTTTTTTATTTCGATCTATTATTATTATTATTAAGTTACATATTTATTAATCGACACAAGTATATAAGTCTGAAATATGTATGAAGTCATACTGCTGATTATATATAACTAGCATTGCCCGCGGCTCCGCCCGCGTTCAGATGACCAAAAACTAAATTCTTAGGTGTTACATATTAGTATACTCTTACATTGCAGTTTTTGTATTTTTCCTCAGAAATAAGATATTTTCCCGCGGTAAAAAGTATCCTAGGATCGCGCGCTACATCGCCCGGTTTATATAGCTTGAGCAGGCGGTCGAGCGATGCGGGGCAGAGGGGATGGACTCGCCGTAGGCATCTCAATGCTCGCCAAGCATTAAAAATGTTTCGCTACTAATTACTTCTAACAACGATATCTCAAAAACTATTCCTCTGATTGATTTAGTGTAAAGAGCAATTTTAATCTGCATTAAATGACTAAGCTAACTAAAATATTCATTTGGATAAGGATTAATACCGAACTAAAGAAAATAACTTTGAAAATAACGTAATGTTTTTAATTAAAAATGTTAACATAAAAGTGGTTATTGTAAGTCAACCGTAAGAGATAGAGATATGCTATCGCGGACTTTTTTGTAGCATTTTTATAGATTTTGAATTCTCTAGTACATTACTTAACTGTATCTTTGCTAGTTTACGCGGCGTTCGCGTGGAAAGTTCCCATTTGGCGAGATTTTTTGCGACCTCTTCAACATTTGTCGCCGTATTTCAGCTAATTTACATAAAAGCATAATAAATTATATACCTAAACCTTCCTCAAGAATTACTCTTTCTATTGTTGAAAACCGTATAAAAATCCGTTCAGTAGTTTTCGAGTTTATCGCGTACAGACAGACAGGAGGACAGACAGGAGGACAGAAAGACGCGGCCGGGGGACTTATTTTTATAATAAGTATAGATAGATTAATATCACTCAAAATGCATAAAGTCTCATATTTAGTTGATTCTGCATTTTTGTATTCGTATTAAAATAAACTTAAATATTGACACACTTCGTAAGTTAGCGACGGTTGAGATTTCTTAATAATTACTTTTTAAATTAAAAAGTTACGTCAGCCTCAAAATCTCTTCAGATGTTTTAAACCACTGGGTGAATTTCTCTTGATGTTTATTGGACCACTGCGATATATAGCCTTTTCATTAATCGGTATCCTTTATCGGTTTATAATAAGCAAAAAAATGACATATACATATTTTGATTGCGAACCTCCTTTTTTCAAGTTGGTTAAAAATAGTGCTAATTGGCACACTTGTTTACTTAATTTTTTGTTCCTATGTAAAACGATATATTTTTTTCAAATTAACATATTTCATTATTAAACATGTGTTATATTTGGTATTTTTGATATAAAAGCTTAATTTTGCGTTTTCCTGTTAATTCCTGTTATCAAACTTCGTCGAACTCAAAGTTCAGACCACGTGCACACCAAAATCGATATAGCAATCTAACTCCCGTCTTTGGCTCGACAAAATGAGGGTGGCGTTTGTGGGGGAGGAAATGTTTATTGGAATAATAAAAGTGTTGTCTATAACAGTACGCCTGAACACACATTGCATTCTCATAATGATTTACATCTCATTCTACTAAGCTTTTTATTCATGAAGATTACTGGTTGGCGCCTATATTCTTTTTTTTCTGTTGGTTCTGTTTTCTGGACAGTGATTCAACTCGTGTGTAACGGACTTAATTTAGTTTAACGGTCGTGTTTGAACTTTGAAGCTCACTGTAAAAACAAATGGTTTTCGAATTATCGATGTAATATATCATTATCTTTGGTGGTAAATAAGTTTTATGAAATAAATTATCTATACTAATATTATAAAGAGATAAAGTTTGTGACGTTAAGAAGGTAATTTCTGGATCTGAACCGATTTAGATGAAATATGGTAAGAAGATAGTTTGAAACCCTGTGTAGGATATAGGATACTTTTTATCCCGGAAATCATCTCTTAATCCCTCCACGACGGCGTGTCAGTTAACTATAGATTTCTTAGAATTTTAATTAATTTCTTAGAAATTTACCTGGAGGTGTTAAGGGGGTGAAAATGGGGATGAAAGTTTGTATTGGGAAAAAAGCTAGGGACGAACCCGAGCGAAGCGAAGGTGAGTCGCTAGTATTAAGAATAAAAACAGTTTAAGTAATCTTTATTAAACTTTTTTTTTACTTTTTGATGCTCTTAATATAATAATTATGAATCAATATATGTAAAATATTTTAATTATTGCACTTAGGTCTACATCCGTATTGCATTCTATCATCTAACAGTATATCAAAACCTTAACAAAGCTTGAACAATTCTGAGAAACGTTTGCATTTCGTGACTACGTTTCATGTGTTCCTAATGTCGTGGGGATTGTCACAAGTGCGGGTGTTCGAGTTTATAATGTTTGCTACACGTTTATTTATACTACTTAGTTACGATAATAAGGCAGTGTAAAGTGTTAGGTTCTAGCCAGTAGAAGTCAATGAAAAGCCTTAAAATATATTAAAAGAAATTCAATTCGACTTTAAGAAATATACATATATTACAAAACAATGAATACTTAAGCTCTGTCTAAAAATGTCTTTACGTAGTAAGTATTATTCAATAAATATATTATTAAATTCAAATTATTTTCAAAAATAAAAATACACTTTGTATTAGTCCAAGACATTATATTATTTATATATATATATATATATATATATATATATATATTTATATATTCATTCATTGGTGTAGTAATTTTTATTCTTTGCCAATATCATTAGCAACTTTCATAAATAATTCATTTTGAATCATTTGGTAAATTTTGCTAAACAACTAGCGGCTATTTTAAACATTTACCACGATATTCTTACAACCTACCGACCTATCTACCTATAAGCAACGACATCCGGTCGCGCCCGTCTACATCTAATTGCTAAAATAAAAAAGGGTTGAACGGCAGTCGCGAACATTACACCGTACATTCTGCTAATTATAATGGGTTTTTGCTACCTTTGTTTTATACTACTTTTTGCACGTATATTTGGTAACGATTTTTAAGTTATATATAATGCTTTTCTAATATTATAGAGATTAAAGACTCACTCTCGCTCCGATCTGGTTCGTCCATAGTTACGTTTTAACGTTTAGTATAGATTTCTTAGAGATGAGATATTTTCCCGCAGCAAAAGTTACCCTATATATTGACCCGGATACCCAGATATCATCATACCCATCAAAATCTGTCTAATTGTTTCCTCGTGATGCGTTTCCAGACAGACAGACAAAAATTCTAAAAACTATAATCTCGGCCTCTATATATTATGACTAAGATTTTCCAAAAAAATATTTAATGCAACAGATTCGACTCAGAATTTTGTTATATGTTATACCTAGAAAAGATATGAGAATATTATTTAGAGCACTTTATCTAATAAAAACAAACGAGCACAATCTTTAAAGTTTTACTGGTAGCCATTGACGAACTCTATTATCCACTTTCTGGCTTTATCATCAGATCAGCTCGATGGTATCAAATAATTGTATCGTTCAAATCTGACATACAAAATTTAAATTGATATTAGAATTAGAAGCAGGTAAAAATCTACACTTGTACAATTTGTTACAAAGAAATGCAAAAAAGTCTGTTATAATGTTGTTAAAGAAAAGGCAACACGAGCCCCGTTATTTACTGTTATTTTTTTTTTATTATTATTTTATTATTATTAAATTATAATTTAATTATATATTTTTTATTATTATTAAATTAGCAATTCCATCTGCCTTATTATTTAGTAAAGTAATGAGCTATTAAAAAGGTAGACAAATATGCAAGTCGTTAACATTAAATTGTGTTACGTTATTAAGCTCTATATTTATAGAGCAATACCACCAAGGCCCATATATATACCCCGTTTTTAAGCTGTACAGTACTAAACATATATGTATTTATGTAAATCTTTAAATAAAAGGCACTATGTTACAAGTAAGCTTATTTTTATAATCATTATAATTATACAAGGGACTCATCCTCGATTTGCACGGGTTCGTCCCTATCCCTATTATATATGTATAGTTTTACAATAATGTATGAAAGTCTGCCCGATTTGTTGACATTTATGACTACTGCTCCACTCTCTTGGGTAGTAATATGATATATGACCTATAGCCTTCCTCAATAAACGGGCTATCTAACGCAAAAAGATTTTTTCCAATCGGACTAGTAGTTCCTGAGATTACCGCGTTCAAACAAACAAACTCTGCCTCTTCATAATATTAGTATAGAGTATATATTAAAAATTACCTCAAAATATAGAAATATAATTGTGATTTAGACTGAACGTAACAAAAATTAAAAAAAAACTCCAATAAATATTTATACCATCCATAAAACGATCACTGTCATATCCCTTGTGAATGGTTTGTAATAAAAGTTATATCGGTCCAACGGTCACAGCTCGCGTAGAGTGCGAAGCGGACGTTGACTAGTGCCGAGCCCTCAGGGAGCCGAGCCCTACCGTTACTCGCGACCTCATAATTAAATATACCTGTAACACCTTTTTATATGGGCCTATCTATCTAATATGTAAAATTCTCGTGTCACAATGTTTGTAACAAAACTCCTCCGAAACGGCTTGATCGATTTTTATGAAATTTTGTGTGTATATTCATTAGGTCTGAGAATAGGATGTAAACTATTTTTCATATCCCAAACTTCTCA